CATTCACTGCAGACGTACAAGTTGTGGTGGGTTTTGCCTAGGTGTTCCCCCAAGAACCTCATGTGCTCACAGCTGAGGCTTCTGAAGGGTGATTGACTCATGGGGCCGCTACAGCTCAATGTGCTGTTATCAGGTGGAGCTGGCCGGAGGAAGTGGCCCCTGTGGGTGTGATGGGGAAAGATGTGTCCTCCCCTCGCCACCTTGGTGTGAGCAGCTTTCCTCCCAGCCCCTCCCACCACGGCACCACTCACATAAACCCTGAAACTTCTGAAACCTCGCCTCCTTTAAGTTGCAGGTGTCCAGTGTTACGTCCCACGGCCAAGAAAGTAACTGAGACACAAGCCCAACATCTGTTAGTCTTCTGAGGGTTCCAATGACAACAGATTCCTCACTGACAAATTTTCTTTCCGAAGTGAAGTCCACAGGTGCTCCCCTCAGTGCTTGTCATGACTTCCCTCACTGCTTCGTCCGCTTCTCTCAGGTCTCTGGAGCTGGACTCCCTGGAGATCGGTGAGCACAGTGGCAGCTGTAATTTGTCCAAGGCTTCCGGTCCATGAAACTGCCTTGTGATAAACACCATTCAAACAACATGGATCGGCCACACACAGGGCTTGCCTGAAAATAGAGACTCAGACCCGGGACCCCTGCAACTCTTCCTTCCCAGCCCCTTATGATTTGGGTAAGGAAGCAGCACCCCACAAGCGCACCCCTGAGGGGCTCTCTGAATGGCAGTGGCAGGGGAGCTCAGGTGGAGCCCTCTGGAATATCCCATCTGCAAGAGGTTTGGGCTTCTCCTGTCCCCCATCTCTTGCCAGGTGTTGTGGTGATGGGGTGGTGATCTCTCCTCCCAGACCCACTGTGTAGCAGGGAACATCAGTGGGCTCTCACAGGCCATGCACTGGCCATGCTCAGTGCTGCACAGCACAGAGCTTGGCACAGCATTGCCGGAAATCAGCCCTCAGCCAGGTGGGCCCTCAGCCAGGTGTTGCTGAGGAGGGTGGGACCCACGAGGTCATCTGCTTGGCTGAACTTCAGGCGCTTGTCTTAGTCCTGGGTACTCTGGCCAATGGCTGGCATTTATTATAAGTTGTTGGGACACTGCCTGAGAAAGATCCCCTTCAGGGGGAAAAAACTCTGAGAATGTCTTGCCTCACAAATATCCAAAGTATGAATCAAAATCACACATGTCTCTGCCTATACAAAGGTCCCAACACAAGGCTATGCCAGGCCACTCCTTATTTCTCAGTGATGACAAGTATTAATAACAGGGATCGAGGCACACAGTCCAATTCTCAGAACACAGTACTCAATGCAGGAAATAGAGTCACTCAATGAACTTTCATGTCTTGATAATTGGGTTAGTTGGGAGCCATAATGGTTTCTTTAAACAGCCGATCAAGTAAGCTGCTCAGAGAGTTTCTATTTGCACTGAACCTTAACCTGCCTATGCATTTTCTCTCTTGCCTCATCCTACAAGGGCAAGAGGATGGATGGAGGGTCCATACTCCCCTGGGACCGTGAATTACAAACGGTTCCATTGACCAGGCAGCTGCTCATTTGACAGAGGACCCATTTGTTCAAAACTTTCACCAAAGAACTTGGTACATCAGCTGCACACCATCCTGTGTTGATTGTTGGTTTTATCCTGGTCTGCGTGATTGTCTCATCCAGAGTTCAGAAGTGCAGATCCACCAAGGAAGCCATCAAACATGGCCAACACTGTTTGCGTATCAGCTATAGTGGGCATCCTCTGGAAAGGCCATGCGAGCCCTTTATACCAGAGAGTGACTGGGATGACTGGAGAGCATTCCCTCTCCCCTGCTTTTGAGCTCTTTCTGCATAACTGCAGGCTGTTGGGAAATCCTCCTCTGCTCCTGGCTAGGTTAGATGTCCTCACCCAGATGCCCAGAGGCTGCCCTCTAACACAGCAATTAGCCCTGTAACACCCTCAGTTTTCAACATCTCTTTCCACTCTTCTGTTGCCTTGAGGACACAGACTGTGAGATTTTTACTGCATTCCCAGCCAGCCCACAACTGAGAGGAAAGCCTGACACAGTAGGCAATCTGTGAGCGCCCTTTGGATTCATGGTGCCCCCTGCATGGTGACCCTCGGCCTTAGAGGGCGAAAGGGCGGCTTGTCTACCCTATTCTGGCTTCAGAGGGCCACATCTATTCTTTCTTGTAACACGCGTGGGCTAGGGCTGAACATCCAAAAGGGAGACCTCGGTGTGCTAACGTGTGTGTCTGGGCCTGTACATGGTATTTCATGTACAGGAGGGCTGTGTATGTGCAACAGTGTGTAAAGCGTGTGCATGAAAGTGTGTGCATCTGTGCACATGTGTGTGTCTATGGGGAGAGCTGTAGAGATATCAGAAAGTTTTATCTGAGAGGACAGAGTTCTTTCAAGGATATTTGCTGTTCAAGAATGATTCTCTTGAAAAAGAAGATGGTAAGAGAAATCCAGAGATGATTAAAAAGTATGATTCATGAAGGAAAGTTGATGATAAAAGAGCTTTAAAATATATATGTGTGTGTGTAAAATATATTTGCATATGAATAAGGCTTTGAAATCATCCCACTGAGGAAAATAATGTATTTTTATTTGGTTGTGTCATTCAAAATGGATATGCTAGCACTTTTATCTACTAAAAACAGCAGTGTCATTTGGACTCACCCAACATGATAACTGCAAGGGACTTTTAAATGGGCCCAGAATTAGAATCATCTGAACACTGAATCTAACAAATTGGGATAGCATCACATGTTTTGGAAAAGGTATTTTTTATTTTTTTAAAGTTTTTTTGTTATTAGGCCTTTCTTTTTTAACTTAAAGAAAAAAAAACAGAAAAACGGTAGAAATAATACATAATTTAAAAAATAAACAGTAAGAAATCACTAGTTGATAATTACATATTGTCTTCTTACAAATAGTTGTTCAAGTTACAAAAGTGAAGCATACAAAGTGGATATTAAAAAGCGAGACTGGAAAACAATTCTGTTCAACTATCCAACAAAAACTTAGTAATGTATTTTTATTTGGTTGTGTCACTCAAAATGGATATGCTAGCACTTTTATCTACTAAAAACGGCAGTTGGTTATTAGTAGATGATAACAGTAGATGGTTATCAGTCCTATACACTTAAACAGACATGCAGTTACATCCTTTAGAGCACTTTCTATTCCTCTCTTTTTTACAATAGCAATTACACATTTTGGGTTTTATTACTCCTACATTTCTTATTACTTTTTACACTAGAGACACAATGTAGTATTTATAAATATGATTCTTATTTATTTCACTCATGAGGATAGTCTCAAGCTGTCTCCATTTGCCTATGAAGGCCTCAAGATCATCCTGGAAAAGTTATTCTTATTAAACAAGTTTTAATACATTTTCAGCAATATTTCACACCCAAAGCTGCAATATCATCACTTTACAGTTTCTTAATTTTCAAAAGAAACCGCACTTTATCACTGTGTGTCATTTGATTTGCTGGACAAGAATCCTGAAATCTTATGACTAATGAGCACTTTAAACCTGGAGTGCAAGTTGTCTTCAGATAGCCAGAGATGAGTATTTCCGGCCCGACTAGTTAAGTTGCATTGATCTCCATTAAACCATTTCCCCTGGCAATGGGTAGTGCTTCTTGCATATTATTTGAAGCAAGAAATGAATATTGTTTTAACAGCCAGTCAGCATCTTTAAAATTTATGAACACAAGATTACTTTTGAAGAAGGGACTGATTTTTACCAACTTGGCCTGATAATATTGCACTTGAAAGCTCACCTGAGAACCCAATAGACCCACTCATATCAATATCTTCTCATATTACATCATACAATATCATATATCATACAATATCACATCATGCCATGTCATGTGATATCATACACCATATGAGATGATATCATATCATGCATTACCAAGACTGGATGAGAAGTGCATTCAATTACTGGTAATAAAAAAATGCCAAGGGTTGGGGATTTAGCTCAGCAGCATAAGCGTCTACCTGGCAAGTACTAGGTCATAAGTTTGATCACTCATACAAAAAAAAAAAAAAAAAGAAAGAAATACCAAATTCATCATAAATGGGGAACATTCTCAAAAACAGCTAACACTATGCACTAATGCAAATGTCTGTTTTCAAAAAACGCAGGTTAAGCTCTCATTAAGAACCAGCACTGTCCTGCATCTCTTTGTGTTCACTTCCAACCCAGGACTCCAGTCTTCAGCCACCCACTGGGCACTGTTGTCACCCACACAACACAGGAAGCGAGCAGCAGTCCAGGAAGGTTAGCAGTTCGGACAGTGTCACTCAGCTATGGCAGGGTTCTCTGCCTAGGTCATTTAGATATGAGGCTCTGGCTTTAACAGGCTAACCAGGGCAAGCTCCCTGCACATAACCTGAAGGTGAATTTTTCCAACAGAAATCCCCATATTGGTGGCAATTCCCTCTTTACTAGATTCTCAGGGCCCATGGAACCCTCTGCCCACACAGTGACTTCAGATAACACCATGAAAACAGATTTAGAAACTAACATCAGTCACTCACCCTCCAAAGATTTATGGCATTGGAGAAGGGAAAGAGATCAGACTATGGTTGCCGAGTCCCCTGGGTATAAGTTGGGATTCCCCAATTTCCAGTTCTGTGAGCTTGGATAAGCCGCTGCGTCTCCCCGCGCCACCCTGCCCTGGTGTAAAGGCAGGCATGTTGCTCGCCGTCTCACTTTGCCTGCACTTAAGACAACCGGCAAGATTCCTGCACTTAGTGCAATTTTGTCCTCCCCACCGATGTCACTGCAAGAGCCCTGCCCTCACCCAGGCGGGTCTTGCTGAGGCTGAGATGGGCCCCTGTTCTGGTCTCTGGGTGGAAAGGTTGCAGGTAGCAGCTCTAAGGATGGCCTCCATCCACGCAGCCCCTGCTGGCTGGACTCCACCCAGCACTTTCCCTGCAGGAACTGGCTCCCTGCAAGGGGCGTGGCTGGGAGGAGTGTGAAGAAAGCTCCACAAATTGTAAAGCCCAGTGGCTGGTCTGGGCTCCTGTATAAATAGCCAAACCTACCTGTGCTGCGGTGGAGGCAGCTAGGAGCTGGGAGCTCGCAACTCGATCAGGCTCGCCTCTGGGACAGTGCTGGGTCTATACACACAGAGCGAGGTAAGAGCCTCCTTCGCTTAGGAGTTTCGTATGTGACATGAGGCCCTGAGTTCCTGCCATCTGGGTTCCATCAGGCACAGGTAGAGGCTGAGTCTAGTGCCCTGTGGCATGACCGAGCCTCCACCCGCCTGCCTTGCCCCTGTCCCATTTTCTTCCTCTGCCTCCTGTCCTTGTAATTCCCTCTTCTTTTCTCATTCCCAGGGATGGACAAATTCCCAGATGCAAATCTGGGAGATCACAGCCATTTCCCAGACCTGCCCCTCGTTCAAACAAAATCCTGTATGAAAATAAGAGCGTGGCTTCTGTGGGCTATGTTATCCTCACAATGTATGTCTTGTGTGGTTCCTGGCTTTTTTATGGTTCGCCAATATTTTCTGAATACCCAGGAGCAAAGCATAGGTGATCTTGGAGGCTGGTTAGGATGACAGATGTGGTCTGCTCTCTGCACAGCTCTGGATCTTCAGTAACTGTCTTATCTGCCTGAACCTTATCTGTCTCAGCAGTCACGAAGGGGGTGGGGGTCATTTAAGTGGCAGGGCTCTTGGCTGGATTAGACAGGGTGAGAATCAAATACTAGGTCAGTGCTTAGCACATAAGAGATGTCAGATAAACACGAGCTTCTTTTTTTCCCATTGGGTGTGTGTTTTATAGTCCACTTGATGAAAATTCATGCTATTTAGTGTGACACTGAAGCTCATCCTTTTCATTCAATACAATATTTTTTCCAGAAGGCATTAAGGCTATCCACATTCCCAATGCTATGTCACCATAGGGCTCCTCCAGAAGTCAAATAGCCACGAACCTTGCCTGCAGCCTCAAGGTCTAAAAGATCTGGTTGAAATTCACCCCTCTCCAACCTGGTTGCTTTGCCTAGTCAAGTCAGATGACCACCCCACCTCAGGCCTCCCTAGGATGCCTACTTTCTCCTGAAATCTTCTACTCCACAGCCCCAGCCAGCTCAGGGTGTCATGTGTAACCTGTGAGTCAACACTTTCTGTGAATTTTCTGTGACTGTGTGTGGTTTCTCATTCTATGGGCATTTGTTTCTTCACGGACTGCGAGATAGAAATCTAGCACACTGGGTCTAGCAGAGGTTTGGCAGTTATTTCATTTGTTCAATTTTAATTTTAATTTTTGTTAGTACGTGTTTCCAGGACATAATGACTGCATTCCTGTGTGCATAATGCATCTTCATTCCTTTCTCCTTTCCTCTCTCCCCACTCCCTTCATCTCTTGGTCTCCTTCCCATTTGCAAAAGGTCCAGCTCCCTGTTTCCTATTTTCTATCTTTTATTTTACTTTTCAATTAATGTATACTTTGGGGTTCTCACAGAAGAGAACCCAAATGATATTTAAGCTTGTGGTAACTTCACTTAACACCTTGGTGTCCAAATAAAGGACCTAAGACTTAGAGGGAGAGAGAGGCCTGTTCCAGATCAAGTTGAGAACACAGAGGAGACAGATAGCATGGTGGATGCTGTGTAAATATGTTGAGGGCCTGTGAGCCCCTCAGGGCCTGAACCCTCTCACTCTGCACAGTGTGCTCAGCAGTTGGTATAGGGTATGGGGCACTGTAGGTGTGCAATCACTGCTTCTTGTGTGAGTGAGTGATTGAGCAAATTCAGGCATGACTGAGGGGAAAATTCATGATGCTCAGAGAGAAGCACAGGGAAAGATGAAGCAGGATAGTTTTCGGACACTCAAGACTCAGTTTGAGTGGAAATGGGAACAGATAAGTTGCCTATTTAGTGATTGCAAGAGCCAGACAGATGGCCGGTCTCCTTTAGTGGTTTCAGGTATCAGGGTGGGAGGTCCATTTGCAGCCCTACCCTCCTCGGCTCTGACGCCCCTGCCTTTGGTTCTGCAGGTGCCTGTCCAGCTGGAGCCATGAGGGTCCACAACCTCACCTTGCTCTCACTCCTCCTCCTGGCCTCTCAGGTGCTCACACAAAAGGTCAAAAATGAAGCAAAGCACAGACAGATCAGCACAGCAGATGGGGACTCATCAGTTCTGGACAAGGCCCAGAGTAAGCAGAGAAGCAGGACGTCCATCACCAATGGCAAGTTTGTCAGCAGAGACCAAGGAGCCAGCTGCACGTGGACCACGGCTGCACAGGAGCCGGGAGTCGCCCTGAGGGTTGAATGCACACAGGCACAGCACAGGCTTTCCTGTGTCTTCGCTGGCAACCCAACTGAGTGCCTGAAGCACCACAGCGAGAAGATCTACTGGAAACAAATCACCCGGATGCTGCACAGACAGAAGAACATCTGCCGGGACTCAAAGAGTGTCCTGAAGACCAAAGTGTGCAGAAAGAAGTTTCCAGAATCTAATCTCAAGCTGGCGAACTCCACTGTGCTGGAGGATATGAAGGTCAGGAAGGTGGAATCAAAGCTCTTCCCCTTGGAGCATCCCAACATCAAAGAGGCTTCCTCCAAAGAGCCCCACCAGGCCATAGAAGAGGTCTCCTCTACCCCAGCAGTGACCAAGACAGACCCCGAGTGTCTGGATGACCCAGATGTGGAGACGCAGAGAAAGACGGCCCTGGAGTTCTGTGGGGAGTCCTGGAGCTCCCTCTGCACCTTCTTCCTCAGCATGTTTCAGGCCACCTACTGCTAGGGAGGCTGAACGGAACAGATAGTCACCCTAAGTGAAGCAACATGGGGTGCCCATCCATCTAAGGGGAAGCTCTGCAAGTTCCGCACAAGAAGAGACCTTGTGTCTCAGCGTTCAGTTAAATATTTAAACAGATTTTATAATTTTTCTGTTCTCTAATTTACTTTCTCCTCACCACCTGAGATGTGATTCTCAGAGAGTGTGGGCTAAGTTTTCAAAGCCCACAACGCTCTGAGCTTGTGAGCAATGGAGATCTGTCCTCCAGGTAAAAAGCCAGCTTGGTGATTTCAGTGCAAAGTATTTTCTCTTGACTTAACAAGGATAATAAAGCTCTGGCCATTTTCTGAAATATATGCAACCATTGTTTACTTTCTCTGACTCTGATTGCAAAAGAACTCCTGACATCATAAACCTAGATAAGTAGTGAAATATTTATGGGTGACTTTCAGTTCCAACCACCCCAAGTCATCTCTTACATGACCCACTCCTGATTCCCTCTTTAAAGTGTTACCCATGGGTCTGTGGTATTTGATGCTTGTGTAAATGTAATAATTAGGATCTTTGCTTTCAGAGGGATGCCTTGTGCATCACGTGATTTAGTAAGTTGTCAAGGCAATAAAAGAGGAGGCAGAAATGGACCCCAGGAACTCTGGCAGCTGAGGCTCAGGCCTGTACCCATGGCACCTAACGCAGGACCTCTGCCATTGCAGCACTTTCTAGGTTGAGGGGGAAAGGCCTGGTGAGGATGGTGCCCTAGGATAAGGGATGTAATGGGCAGAGAATGCTACCTTGAAAGAGGTAGAAACCTCTGGAAGATCTGGTTGATCTTCCTGGAGGAGGAGACATTAGAGCTGCATTCTGGGGAGACCATCATCAGGAATAAAATAGGGCAGAGTAGAGACATGTGATGTATATAACTGCTGAAAGATGTGAGAGTCCCAGAAATGGGAAGTGGTCTGGGCTGGGTTGGGATGCAAGGCTGAGACTGTGATCGGTCATATACACATTCACAGGAAGAGTTTAAAGTTGTTTTAACTGAAGAGTTAAGGAAACAGGGTGAACCGTTCCCAAAGAGTAAACATGAGGAGCCAGGGTTGGCAGAAACATTATTTGTTGGCCTCTGTGTTGGGGGTGGAGTGGAATGGTGGTGCTGGGAGTAGGGATGAGGGGACACCTTCTGCTCTCACTACGATACAGGGACATAGAGGGTTGCCAGAGCTTAATACACACTCACCACAATGTGTGCATATATCGTCAGTGACACCATAAAACTCATAGTTCTCTCTCACTTGCCACGTTCCAGGCACTGTGCTAAGTGCTTCCCATGGGTTATGCATTCATCCACAGTTCATTTATTCATTCATTTCTCAGGCACTCAACATAACCAAGGGGTGAGAGACTCCTACCAGGTGGTGTTCGAGTGCCTTCCTGGTGGGGAAAATGAGGGTAAAGTTAATTATGCAAAAGCTAGAGAGGAAAAGGGTAGCAAGGCAGGGATGCGAGTAGGAGATGGCAAGTAGAAGATGCAATGGGTTGGTGGGGAGCCTCTGCCCCTAGGAGAATTTTGAGCCTAGAGCTAAATGGAGGAATTAAGCCAGGTGTCTCTCACTGGTAAAAGTATTCCAAATCAAGAACTTGCCTTCATATTATACACAGTTCATGATGTTTTTCACAACTCTGAGTTTCTGCTAGTTGCCTTCTAGCAAAGACAACACTGTCTTTATGACACTCTAGTGGCCGGGATGGCACTTGACATGCTGGAGTCACACTGAAGATTCTGGTACAGTAGGATGGAGTCCTGGGCCTGACCTGAGAATGCTATCATCAGCTTCAGAACTGAGCTGACATCTCTGAGCTGCCCGGCCACAGTTAGATCTGCAATGGCCACTGAAGGTTCATGCATGAAAGCTGCAGTGCTACTGGGAAGTGGGACAACCTCTAAGAGGTAGTAGGAATTAAAGTTACTGAGGGTGTGGCCCTGACCGGGATATTGAGAAAATGGCCTCTTAGTACCGTGCTGTCACCATGAAGTATTGTGCCCCTGCAAGCCCACACAACAGGCCAGGGGACATGGATGGAAATTTTTGAACTCCTGAGCCAAGTAATCCTTTTCTTTTATTAAGCTGCTTATCTCAGTGTTTGTTACAGAGACAGAAAGCTGAGTGACATGCTTCTCTGTGGATAACTGTCTTTGAACAAAGAGCAATTACCTCCACTTTGGCTGGCCCTGTCTTTGACCTGGAGGCTGCACATTATTTCTAACTAACTCCAAATCTCAGTAGTTGTCTTTGCAGGAAGACAGAAGAGTGACATTTATGGTCTTCAGATGATTCGTCAGTCCCTACTACATGTGCATCCCCTTCCGTATCCTTCTAGAAAGTTCTAGAAACTAGTATTTTTGTTCAAATGTTCCCAATACCCACATGCTGAAGGAATGTTGTAAGATAATAGTTTTAAAAAAGTAAACGAAAAATAAAAAGTAAAAATGTCACAGGATAAAATTCATTAAACAGAAGAGATCTAGAATAGCAAAGGCAATCCTGGGCAACAAAGGCAAGGCAGGAGATATCACAGTTCCTGATTTGAAATTCTGCAAAGCTACTGTGATAAAATCATCATAGTACCAGCAAAAAAAAAAAAAAAAAAAAAACCACCTGAGGATCTGTAAACTGGATTAGATGATGCAGACACAGCTACAAACAAAGTCGGCTATCTTGTCTTTGACAAAGGAGCCAAATATATTCAGTGGAAGATAGTCTCTTTAATAAATGGCACTAGAAATACTGGTTTGCTGCATGCCAAAGACTAAAACTAGCCCCATACCTATCATCATGTACTAAACTAAAGTCAAAGTGGATTGAAGATCTAATGCTAAAACAAAAACGCTAAATCTCCTGGAAGAGAGAGTAGGTAGAAATGTTGTAGGCAGAGACTTCATGAAAAAACCCAGGCTGCACAGGAAACACTACAAAGAATAGACAACTGGGATCTCATATCTCTGAAAAGTTTTTGCACATCAAAAGAAATCACCAATAACGTGAAAAGGAAACTCACAGAGTGAGAAAAAATGTCAGCCAAGTGTCCCTCAGACAAAGGACTTATATCTAGAACATATAAAGAATTGAAAAACTCAGACCTCCAAATTCAAAGACCCAATGTAAAAATGGGCATCTGAGATGAATACATGCTTCTCAGATGAAGAAATATAAATAGCAAATAAATATATGAGAAAGTAAGTGTTCGACATCATTGGTCATTTAAACAATGCAAACTAAAACAACACTGATATTTCATCTCACTCCAGAGAGAATGGCTATCATCAAGAAATCAACCAATGACCAATTCTGGTAAAACTGTGTGGGAAAAGGAGGCCCTCTCCACTCTTGGTGGGAACATAGACTGCTACAGCCACTGTGGAAATCAGTGTGGAGATTTTTTTTTAAAAAGTAGGATTAGAGGTCCCATTCGACTCAGCTATTTACCCTCTGAGTACTTTTTCCAGAAGAATTAAATGCATCATACCACAGTGACACACATGTTTGTAGCAGCACAATTTGGAATAGCTAAGTCTTGGAAACAACCCAAATGTCCATCAGTTGAAGAATGGATAAAGAAGATGTATGCTTTTATACAGTGGAGTACTACTCAGCTATAAAGAAGAATACATGGGAGGCTTTTATGGGTAAATGGATGCCACTGGAGACCATACTCATAAGTGAAATAAACCTATATGTGTAAACATCCATCATATTGTCTCCTGAGTGTCAGAAACTGAAAGGATAAATAAGATCCAAAATGTACCACAGATATTGTGAAAGGGAAAAAAACTGTTCAAAAGAAAAGAACTGGGATGGGGGAAAGGAGAAAAGACGAAATGCAAAAGAAAAAATTATATATGTACAAGATAGCTAAGATAATTACACTACTGATTTCTTTTAGTTCACTGAAAAGAACAATTTATGCTTCTATGGTTTGATCAGTTTTGCATACCTGTATCTTGTAATCTGATCAACTACTTTGAAGATAACAATAGGCAATATATTAACTTTTGTTACTCTCCTATGATCTTGTTTTGAAATTCTGTACCGTCATTCGTATTGATTTTCTCTCTTTAAAATTGACGTTTATCTAATTTGCTGCTATGCATTTTCTATATGAGTGCTTTCTGGATACATTAAAAGATTCACCTTTGTGTGAGTGTGAGTGTGTGTGTGTGTTCTTTAAATTGAGCCCCTTGGCTGTGCAAGATGGACAGTGCTTTGTCAGTTACGAGGCCTGGAAGGTAACGCGTCCGTAGCCCTGCTGCCCCTCAGAAGTGGAACTCTCTTCGCTCAGCAGAGAGGGCCCCTTCCCTCCGGTGTGTGTGTGCTGACTGATAAGCACACCAGTGCCCGCCTGAGCTGTGGAATCCGGAAGGTCACACCTGGCCTTATTCCCATCTGCTTTCTTCCCCAAGCTCCATCCCAGATTGTTTTGGCAACAAGCACAACATACCAAAATGTTTTGGAGCTCAAAGCTCCCACACAGGGGCAAGTCCAGCCCTCTTCTGATGTGTCAGCTCCCATAATGCTTCATGTATAAGGCCCAACCTGAAATGTCTACCTCAGAACTATGTCCTGCAAGAATATGCAAGAAAATATTTATTAGACTTCAAGATGGAGGAGGTGTAGAAGATTCTAGAAAGGGCCGGTTTGGGGCCTGGAGAATGGAAGCTCTGCTGTCTAAGAGAGTTTTCGTGCAGCAGTGGGAGTTATAGATAAGGGCAGGGCAGAGATGTAGCCCGCTGTGCCATCCCCATAGGGCCAGCACTTAGTGTGTGGCTGACACGTGTCACGCCTTCTACAAATATTGATTTAGTGATTAAAAGATGAGAGAAGAAAGCACGACAAAGGCAAAGACCATAGGTTTCAGAGTAAAAGAAGATTGGATTTGTGTATCTACCCGTTCAACTTAGGATAAGGTGTTTCATCTCAAGTTCTCCATGTCTAAAATGGGACTAGGAGTATGAACCCAATCACAATTGTACCTCCGGTTGTGGTGGCACAAGTCTGTAATTCCAGCACTCAAGCGGCTGAGGCAGGGGGATGGCCATGAGTTCCAGGTCTCCTGGCCTACGTAGTGAGTTCAAGGCCAGCCTGAATTACATATTGACACCCATCTCAAAGAAAAAAATATCAACAACAACAACAAAAGAGAATTTGCATAATGTTGTACATAATTACCATCTAAAGCATGGTTTGTACACATATGAACTCTAAGGAAGGGTTTGCTGTCAGTGAGAGGAGAAAAGAAGGCAATTTTTTTAGGAAAGCTACACAAGAATCAAGGTGGACCTGCCTGTGGAATGGAGCCT